TGTTCGTGTTCTTAAAGGAAAAGCTTTCAGCTTTTACCCATGCAGGATGAAATTGGCAGTGGGTTTGTCATATATGGCTTTTATTGTGCTGAGGTATTTTCCTTCTATATCTAATTTGTTGGCTCTTTATCATGAAGAAATGTTGAATTTGTCAAATGCTTTTTCTGCCATCTATTGAGATAATCATATGGTTTTTGTCCTAGGTTTTGTTGATGTGGTGTATCAAATTTTATTAATTTTTGTATCTCAAATAGTCCTTGCATCCCTGGTGTGAATCCCACTTGATCATGATGCATAATCTTTTTGATGTGCTGCTGTATTCTGTTTGCTGATATTTGGTTAAGAATTTTTGCATCTATGTTCATCAAGGATATTGGCTTGTAGGTTTTTTTTTTTGGGGGGGGGTTGTATCTTTGTCTTATTTTTGTATCCTGGTGATATAAAGCAAACACTATTAGACCTAAAGAGAGAGACAGATGCCAATACAATAATAGTTGAGGACCTTACACCCATCTCTCAGCACTAGACAGATCATCTAGGCAACAAATAAGAAACACAGGATTTAAACTACACTTTAGACTGATTGGACTTGGCAGACATCTACAGAACATTTCATCAAATGATTACAGAATATACATTCTTCTCATCTGCACATGAAACATTCTCCAGGATAGGCCACATGTTAGGTCACAAATCAATCCTCAACAAATTTTTTAAAATTGCAATAATTTCAATTATCGTCTCAGATGACAGCAGATAAAACTAGAAATTAATAATAAGCAAAACTCTGAAAACTATGCAAATACATAGAAATTAAACAGCCTGCTCCTGAAAGACCTACAAGTCAAAGAGGAGATTAAAAATCTCTTGAAACCAATGAAAATAAAGACACATCACACCAAAACCTGTGGAATACTGCAAAAGTGGCACTATGAGGGAAGTTTCTGCAACAAATGCTTATATCAAAAGAATAGATAGACTTCAAATAAACAACCTAACTTTACATCTCAAAGAACTAGAAATACAAGAACAATCCAATCCCAAAATTAGTAGACAGAAAGAAATAGTAAAGATCAGAGCAGGACTAAATGCAACAGAGACCAAAAAAGATACAAAAGATCAATGAAACAAAAAGTTGTTTTGTGAAAAGATAAATAAAATAGACAAGGCTTTGGCCAGACTAACTGAAAAAAGAAGAGAGAAGACCCAAATAAAAAAAATCAGAAATGAAAAAGGAGACATTACAACCAATCCCACAGAAATACAAAAAAATCATTACAGACTATTACGTACACCAACAAATTTGAAAACCTAGAGGAAATGGATAAATTTCTGGACATATGCAAACTACCAAGACTGAACCAAAAAGAAATAGAAAACCTGAACAGACCAATAACAAGCAATGAGATTAAATCAGTAATCAGCAGTCTCCCAACAAAGAAAAGCCCAGGACTAATGACTTCACTGCTGAATTCTATCAAACCTTTAAGGAAAAGTTAATATCAATCCTTTTCAAACTATTCCAAAAAATTGAAACAGAGGCCATTTTCCTAAATACAGGGGTGTATCTTTACACCCCTACTGTGCTCAATGAATAGAAGAATCAGTGAGCAGGACCTGAATTCAAATCTTTTCTCCACCCTGTGGGCAAATTAATTAACCTCTAATATCAGTTTCCTCAGGGACATGATTTTTCGGGCATGTCCTCTCTCATTCCTACATCCACTTAAACCTCCAGCCACAATAGTTCACATTAATTAAACACATAAAAGTTTTATTTTCTCTCTCTGCTTTTGCATTTGTTCCCAATTTGATCTAAATTTGCTCTGTGTATCTATTAAGTTTAACCATAAGGAACGGCCAATATCCAACCATTTCTGCAATTATGATGCAAAAATGTCAACTTCATATGGTTCAATCAAATATATGTTTCACCAACTAAGCTAAAAGCTTCTATAGTAAGAGCTTGTGTTTTCACTATCTTGCGTTCAGATATTTTATCTGTATAGTACTTTACTGCATGCAAATCTTCCCATACAGCTTATCCTACTCAAAGTAACCCTGTGAAATAGGGCCTTTTAAGTCTTGCAGATGAAAATTCTGCATTGAATATTTTCAGATCTCTTTACACTTCCACTTTGTTGTACTAGATTTGGCAATAACAGGTATTGCTAAAGTCTGCATCATTGGCTTACTTGTGTGGTAAAACATGTGCATACAGAAATATTTATTTTTTGTGCAATAAAAATTCTATAGGTTTGACAAATGCATAATGGCAAGTATAGACCTTAAAGCCTAACTCAGAAGGCTTCTCCTATCAATCTACCACCCCGTGTCCCAAGGACAACATTGGTCTGTTTACCATCTGTGTTATTTTGCCTGTTTTATAACATCATATTAACAAGGATAATACAGTATGGACTCTTTCAAACTGGCTTTTTTCACTTAGTAATCTGTATTTAGGATTTTTCATGTCTTTGCATGGCTTAATGGCTTATTTTATTTGATTGGGGATTAGAATTACATTGAATGGATGGACTTCAGGTTGGCTATGCCTACACGTGTTGAAGATGTGTATTGGTACTTTATTGTTTCAACATTGTTCTCCCTACTTAAAAATAATGCTGAGCATTTCTTGTATGCTTGTTTGCTTTCTGTATATTTTCTTTGGTGAGGTGTCTGTTCATATATTTAATAATTTTTAAAATCAGGTTTTTTTGTTGAGTTTCATGAATTCTTTGTATATTTTAGATTCAATTAATTTTTTCAGATATGTGTTTTTTCAGTACTTCCTTTCAGTCTGTGTCGTCTTCACATTCTGTAAACAATATCTTTGCAAACTAGAAAATAAAGTACATCTTATCTAAATAAACAAATAAATAAGTCTTGCAGATGAAAACTGCAACTAGTGAAGTTCACAGAGAGTAAATGACTTCCCAAGGTCACAGATTTATGTAATAATATTGGGAGACCTGAGCCCATGTCTACAGACACCAAGTCGAGTGTTTGTTCCTCAAAAGGATTCAATCTTTACCTCTGTTTAATGCTTCCTGATTTACAAAGTGCTAACAAAGACATCACATTTGACTCAAATAATGATCTGGTAAGATTTCCAGGGCTGGTGTCATTATACACATTTAATAAATGGAGACTGTAGCTCATTCATATATTCATTCATCCATCAAACATTTACTGCTTCTTTTCCTATATGCAGGCTATCATGCCAAGTTCAGGGAAGCAAGGGATGAATATGTACTAACCCCTTCAGTCAAGAAACTCACAGTCCAGTGCAGGAGATGGACACTCTGTTGACTAACTATTACAGTGTGATGCGTGCTAAATAAATGCTAATACAATGTGACTAATAATACAGCTGAGGTATATACAGAAAGCTGAGGAAATGAAAGAGGAAGTGTTAATTTTCCCTGGAAGTGTTAGGAAACTGCAAGAAGGAGCGGTGCTTGCACTGTGCTCTGCAAAGCTTTCCTCAAGTGAGAAATAATGAAAAATTCTTCAAGAAGAAGCTGAAAGTCACACTGGTGTGACAGTGTATAGTTTTCCCCAAAAAGGCTCAAATACTGAATTACTTACCAAGGTCTCATGGCTGGTGACTTCATCAAGCTAGTGGTGGAATGAGCCTTTTGTTTCCCAGTTAATTCTCTCTTTTTTCAGTGTTTTATGCAAACGTAGTAGCATTTAATAAGTGGAATGTACTATGATATAACACTTTCTTCATTCTCTCTAATGCGTTTTTTTTTTCTTCTGTTCTTTTCCAGTATTCCAAGATGTGCATGTTATGATATTTGTTGGGTTTGGCTTCCTGATGACCTTCCTGAAGAAGTATGGATTCAGCGGTGTGGGTTTCAATTTCTTCATTGCTGCTCTGGGCCTCCAATGGGGCGCTATTGCACAGGGGATCCTGCACAGCCATGGACAGAAATTTCACA